AGTTAGCTACCTCCTCCTCCTCCTTGTTCAACAGCCAGTCATATACCTTAGATCCATGAAAAACAGAAATATGTTTACGAACAGCCCAATGATGGGTGTATACACATAGCAAATAATGATGTATAGAAAGAAACGACTGTCATCTGATGACTAGTGGTCATCACAAACAGACAAACAAACGAACAAATCAATCAATAAAATATGCACTTCTCTTCTCAAGCCAGCTGACTCTACTCTACCCGGAAAGCAAGAAAAGTGTACTATTATTACTAGTTAAAATACAACAATTACTGTCACTACTCTAAATATTATATCGATTTTTTTTTCAAAAAGCAATACAAAATAAAGACATGCAATGTGACAATAATGGCGATAGACGGATAGCTAGATAGGTAGGTAGATAGATAGATAGAACACAAAACACTTTAAGAGAGAATGTCCCTATTTGCATAAATAAACACACAAAAGCTAAATAGAACTGAATCGATTCAGCCAGCATGACAAAAGAATGTGGTGGTGGTGGTGGTGGTGGTGTTGGAGGTAGACGACTAAGACTAAGGGGTATATAGAATGAAATCGTGGGGGCGGGCGGGCGGTGTAACGGTTGGACATTATTATTATTACTATTATTATTATTATTATTATTATACATGCTTCATTTGTCTACATATATAACGCATAATGAGAAAAAAGATTGAATATGGATTGAGACATAAAGGAAGAGAGAGAGAGGGACAGAGTGAAATATCGCATTTCCATGTGACGCACACACGCACACACACTTAGACTTTGAAAATAATAGACAAGATTTTTATAGCTTTATTATTTATGACTAATGTGTAGACAAAAATATATGTTTGTAATTCAATTTAGACTTTCGTGTTGTCTTATTGGACAGAAGTGCCGGGCCATCGGAGGTTAACATGTAAGCGATCAATGTCTGATCATTTAACTCGAAGTCAATTAGTATATGGTGGTGACTGGTAGTGGAATCATTCCATGATGCGCATTTCGCCCTATATGGGACTCGTCATTTGGATGCGTTTGTATTTCCCCTAGTGAGTCAGCGAGTGATAGTGTTCCCACCGAGGCTCAAACCCACTACCCATAGTTACAAATGCCAAACTGTTGCCCACTACAGACAACTCCTTGCGCCAACCGATAGCTGACACCTTGACATGGTGGTCGGGCTTGCACATCGTGATGACCCAACAAGCTACACTGGCTAGAACTAATGTTGCTGCAGGTGCTACCCCATACCAGGAAGGTTGTTAGGACAGCCATTTGACTAAAAGCAGTTACCGGCATTGTGTAAGAAAGATTCTCACACTATGCTGGGGTTTGAGGGCGAAGTCGTACTGCTGGGAAACAGGGATGTAACAGAAGTGAGGTGTATCCCTCAGATGACCAGCATGCCAGCCAGCTATGCTGTCTCTCCACTGTGGAGAGAGGAAAAAGGACGACCCCAAAAATTGTACATCCCGACTTACCCCACCTACGGTGGTCCGTAATAGGCGGTAAGTTTACTCATACGGAACCAAACCAAGAAACCAGTCCATACAGGCCGTGTGTGACCGGCTGGCCTCAAGCAGTCGTCCCCAGGGTTACGCGGTCAAGCAACACTAACCGTCTCTCTGTTTCAGTTCCTCGAAGAATCAATCAACTTTCACGGTGATGTGGGCAGCCAGGAAGTAACAACCGCCCATACACTTCCAAAAGCTCACGAAGCTTTCCTGAGCATCATTTTCTCTTCTACATCTTTCTTGTGCAACAAGTATCAAGAATTACTTGATTCAATTAGGACTCGTGTCCCAGGTGGTCTGTAGTGGATAACACATTTTGGCATTTGTAACTATGGGGGTAGTGGGTTTCAGCGTCAGTGGGAATGCAGACACGTGCGGCCAACGAGTCCTAAACAGGAAGAAGCGTGCATCCAGCATTCCACACTGCTAGTCAACGCCCACCAATTTATTTGATGACAGAAATTGTTTGATATTAATCTGAGCTACTTTTTAAAACTGTTTATTTTCACCATAGAAGAGGAGGTTTCATCATAACATCAAGTCTGATGACATTTTCATCAACCGTGACCACCTCACATATTAAGAGCTCACCCATGAACAACGTGGTACGGGGGTTAAAGGTGGTTACACTTCGGTCTCATGTGACCACACATTCATAGTCCCTGGCAAATAAGTCCTCATTCCCTGACTTCACACAAGTTGGGTGTGCTCGTTACAGAAGTGAAAGCACTAATACGAATGTCTGGCGCTTACAACCCGACTGATGGATATTCTGGTCTACCTAAGGGATCTAAAATACCCTAGTTCGAAAACTATGCTGTAGATGGATTGCTAAATCTGGAAGGATCAAGTGGCGTATGAACCTGTTTCGGTCACCACGATCCAAGAAAACATAGTTCCTGTCGTGCTTTGTGGATTAGACTAAACGTTTTTGCTATAACAATGAACCTCATTAAGAAGTTAGTCTTTAGTTGATCTCTGACGAAATCTCAGCACGAATACAGGGGGCTAGTTTCGCATTTGCCAGTTTACGCCGACTCTGGCTTAGTAGTTGTGATATCCGACTATCGACCAAAGGGTGGATGCACTGCTCATCAGTCCGCTCCGTCCTCCTTTATGGTTGTGAGACCTGGCCACTGAGAGTGGAAGACATGAAAAGACTAGCTGTCTTTGATCATAGGTGCCTGCGCTCTATTTCCCGTGTAAAGTGACATAATAAGGTGAGCAACATTGAGGTTAGGCGTAGAGTTCTGGGTAAACAGGGGAGATCAATCGACGAAGTCGTGAAGTTACAAAGACTGAGATGGTTAGGACATGTGTTACGTTTGCATGCCAAGCCATCGCTTCCCTCGACGAGCAATGTTAGTGGATATAGGGTCAGACTGGAAAAAACCTAGCGGCGGTCAAACAAAAACTTGGCTCCAGTCAATGAAATCCACAACAGTTGGTCTAAGCCACGTAGGAAGGTGTAGACTTCCCGACTGGTTGGAGTCCTCGGGACGGTAAAAATCTATGGTTGGAAACAATTAAGGACATGGCTCAAACACATCGTTCTCAGTGGCTAGCGCAGATGCATCCACTCCTTGTGACTTATGACCTCCAATGAAACTGTTTTGTTCTCCGTTATTACTCTTCCTTTGTCTCACACCTCTGCTCACTGTTTCTATTATGCTTTTTTTGTACTTTCTTCTCTTCCTTCGCGTGCTACACGGAGTGTGGTGACTTGAACTTCCGCACATTTGTGCAAAGTTCTATGTCGGAAACAGACAGACAGTCTTTAGTTCGAATCCTAATGCACCTAATTCAACCCCTTAAACAACAATTAGTGTGGCTTATAACTTACAGCATAAAACATTTGGGTTCTGGGCGACTCTCTTTGTCAGCAAACAAGAAGTTAGTGCTCAAGAAAACACTAAACGATTCCCACATTATGTATGCACTACTATTGAGTCACATATTCGACTATAACAGAGACTACTACTAAATAAATAGTCGATGAGTCCACCTTGTAACCTGAGGGTCATAGGTTCGATTCCTGGAGGGGGGGATTGTGAGTGCTTCCTGCTGATTATTGTTTCCTTCAGTTCCTAGAGGAAACACAGCGTTTCAGCTGCACATCTTCATTGAGTTCGGTTTTCCACCAACGTTTTCACCTGGCTCCAAATCTACCCATATGATTTCATCTCTTCTTCACATGACCTCTTCCATGTCACCACCCCCATGGACGATCAACTTGCCGCTTCCCATTCGGGTTTCACCCTCTAACGTACCAGTTTGTTTATTGAGGCTGATAACTTCACTGTAAGTGAAAAAGCTAAAACGATAGTTTTCGAATAATATGAAGCCCATACAAGTTCTCCATAGTAAACATCTGTTTTGCACGCTTGTTGCTCTACAAAGAATGAATTGTCTTATTTTTACTATCACGGATGGAATGTAGTAATTAAACTTAGGGGCCAAAATTTCATCAATCATTGACTCAGACTAATTATCACAGAATTCATCTTAAAGTATAAAAGATATTTAAAATTCTACTCAATTGTGAACTTCCAAGTCAATTTCTACTGAATAGCAATTGACAAAACTGTATGAGTTCCGAGCGCATCTACCTTCCCTTCTGGAGATGACAAACAGACATTAGTTACAGAATTTATGGGAATCAGGGTGTGCTGGGACGGATGTTTCATTCTATTATGTCATTCTTCAGCAGTAAGCCCAACCAGGAACTGATTGTACAAAAAATAGGCAGGAAGAAATGGAGGTGCACTGGCCATACTCTCTGAAAGCAAACCATCAAGTGAGTGACATCACAAGACAGGCCATCGCTCGGGTGGACTCCTAATGGTTGGTTGTTACTGCCGGTGTGACATGGAGGAGGTCATGTGAAGAAGAGATGAAAGCATGTGGGCAGTTGTGGAGTCACGTGAACGGCTGAAACCCTATGTTCCTCTAGGAACTAAAGGAAACAATAATAATAGTAGTGTTAGGTTAGTCAGTTCTACTATAAGGGTCAGAGACTTAGATGTATCACACCAACAGGCTTCAAACTTTTATCAACGTCTACCTTCTCTCTCTCTCTCTCTATGGTAAAAGATCAGATGACCTGTTGGGAAGGACTAACAACAAGAAACTCCGACCATAACATCTATGTACCGGAGGATTGGATCCACGTTGAAAAAGAAAGAAACTTTGGGTGATACATCCCGAGACAAGCGGATACTCGAATGGAAGTCAAATAAATAAATCAACGCGTTGGGCATAAGTTCGGGGGTGACATGGAAGCGATGACAGCTTATGAGCAATCCATAAAACGGGGTAAAAGCGATTGGGGAAAATAAGATGGAGTGGAAATGTACTCCTTTATCTCTACGCTCCACTCGGAACCAAAGGGGTAAGAATGACAATAATCATAATAATTTACAAGACATACAAATCACTATATAGGAAAGAAATTTTTAAAAAGAAATCTCAACTTACACAATAGAGTGGAATTTCTTCAGCCAAAGAAGGATTCAATTCACGTTCAGCTCGAGAGGTATAAAATAGGAGTGAAAATCTTTTCAATACAGCATATTTTGGTAACCAGATTAGCTTATGCTTTCCACGTCCTTTACTATCAATATCAACAATATCTTCAAGGATAATATTCAATATATTTGATGGAATACTCCCGGCACCGGCACCGCCAGCAGCACCAGTGATGACAGATGTATCAACACAAGATAGTTGTTGGGCAGAGTTTTCTTCAGTTGACAAAAGTGTTGTATCCCCAGGAGCATCACTACCACCTCCGCCGGCAGCAGCAGTTCGTGTAGACACTGTTGAAGAATTCTGTTGTTGTTGTTGTAGTGTGGAAGAATGTGGATGAACATAATAATCAAGACGTGCACGTAAATTCCTTTCCAACTGCCTTTGTTGACCTAATTCTTTATACATATTTTGACATTCTTCCGTCAGACTGGTGATTAAATTACTACGTTCAGCTAAGTCTTTTTTATACTGTTCTATTGTAGCATGTAAATTTGCAATATCCTTTTGTGTGGTTGATTGAAGATTTTTATACTTTTTCTCTAGTTGTTTATATTCATCACGATTAACAATTTTCGATTTGACTGGCGGTGGGATTGTACGTGTCTTCATTTCACTATAGAATTTTTCAACTAGCGTATCAAGATTACGTTGTTGAATTTCTTTATCCTTCTGCAATTGTTGTACACGTTCAGTTAGCCGACCATTAGTTGTTTCAACGTTAGCACAACAATTACGCATTTCATCAAGTTGTTTCGACAGATCATTCATCTCTAAGGATTGTCTATTGACTAGACTATTTAATCGATGTATTTCCTCCTCAGAATGTTTACGTACCGAGTCTAAATTTGTTTCTAGGCTACGTAGACGTACTTGTGCTATAGATAATTCAGAGTCTTTATGAATTAATTCCTCTTCAAGTGTATGCTTTGCTTGAATTGTTGTATCAAGGCTTGTCTGACATACGCTTAAATCATTATGTAATCTTTCTATGGTTAGCTTACTTTGTTCAAGTAAATCAGACGTTTCTTTATACTTAGTCAAATGAGTACAACTCAACTCTTGTGCAGTTTGTAATTGATCGCTTAATTCTTTCACTTGTTCTTCAAGATTTTTACGTAATTCTGAGACAACATTCATTAGCGCTGTACACTTATTCTCAGCTTCTTGATTTTCTGACAGGAGAGTTGAATTTTGTAATTTTAAATTGCTTATTAATTCATTTAATTCAGTAATCATTTGAGTAGTATGATTGTTATCATTATCAGGAGTTGAAGGATTGTTCGACGATTGCTGTTGTTTCCCTGCTGACATTACCTCTAAATCTTTCTGTTGTTTTAATAATTCCTTTTCCAATTGATGAATACGTTGATCCAATGCCTCCTTGTCACTCTTCAGGCTTGCATACTCCCGATGTTCTGTTTCATAATTCAATGTTATTGTTTGATATTGTAATTCTAATTCTTTAATCTTCGTCTGTAAAACATCACGTTCTGATTGTAAACTATTTATTTGGCTGTTTAAATCGTGTAATTGCCCTTCAAAGTCGGTTTTTATACTTTTTAACTGTTTTACTTCATTCTGTGAGTCTATCAATTGTTGATTTAGTGATTTTAAACTCAATTGGTCTTTACTTGATTGACATTGTAGATTTTGAAAGGCTTGTTTTAAATTGTTCAGCGTTTCTTCAGTCAATTTTTGACGTTCTATAGCTTCATTCAATTGTTTGGATTGGCTATCTATCCCGCTTTCAAGAGGTTTATTATCATTAGCAGACGTAGTAGTAGTAGTAGTACCATTACTGTTGTTTGTCGTCGTCGTGGTGTTGGTGTTGGGGTTAGTAACACGTGAAAACATTTCCAAATATCGATGATAACGATTGAATGTAAACCCAGCGAAGGATAAATTACTCCCTGTGAAATAAGCTGGTGTTTGTGGACGAGCTGGAGCGAATGCCCCACCACTATGCGGTAACTTCATACCACTTCCACCACTGCCTACATTATCTGAGCTTAAATCTCTTTCATCAAAGTTAATATTTGATGTATCTGTCTCAGAATTGACAACTGGTTGAATCGGTGGATTCTCTGATCTCAACTGCTCCCATTGAATAGATTTAAAAAAGGCGTGTCCTTTCACTTGTTGAGCTGCAGCTACTGCTTTATTATTTTTTGCAGTAATTATCTCAGCTTCTGTCAACAAATCAAATGAGCCTAAACGAGTTGTCGGTGATTTCAGTAGATCACGAATGAATTGTTCAGTCTCTGGAGAGATTGGATCAGCATCAGTTGGTATACGCAAGGACTTCTCATGCGCAAGAATACGACTATATGTCTCCACGAGAGATTGTCCATAAAAGGCTGGTTCACCAAAAAACATTTCATAAGCAATAACACCTAACGCCCACCAATCACATGCAGGACCAATTTTACCAGCTTTCGCTTGACAACTTAACATTTCTGGACTAATATAATCCGGTGTACCAATTGGTGAAGTACAATAGTAATAACCATCTTGGCCAACACGTACACATGAACCAAAATCAGCCAGTTTTAAGTGTCCTTTCGCATCTAACAGCATATTATCCGGTTTTAAATCACGATGAATAAAGCCTAACTGATGCAGGGCTTCCAGGGCGAGTACTGTTTCAGCCAGATAGAAACGTGCTATTGTCTCATCGAATGTATCATATTTCTCTAGCCAATAGTATAAATCTCCACCGGGCATATATTCCATGCATAAGTAGACATTGTCTTTATCCTGTTGTCGAAAATCAAAATAGACGAAAACAAGACAGTATTAGAACAATTCTGATTTTTAAAAAAAGGTTTACAATGAATGTCAATAAAATAATCCAAGGGGAAATATTCTAAAACGGATATCAAGTATTGGGTATTTCAGAATTTTATAATGAAGCGACATCGGTTAGAGAATCATTGGAACATCACCTGGAAGTACTAGACAGCTGATTAGTACTAGTTTGGGATTCCTTAGTTCTACAAGCTCGTCTTGTAACTGGAAGGCAGCACTGGGTTCGAACCCTGGCGGTGAGTGTGTACTGATGAAGAGTCCTAAAATGGGATGAAACAGTTGTCCAGTACTCCCAGGTGGTTTTCCAATGCTTCTGCAACCTATCTCAGCTCATGACGAGATCTTGTAACCAATAAAGTCCCTGCAAACCACAACACTTGAGTATTGGGGATTTGTCTGATATCACATACGTTTTCAGACACACTGTCTCCTACACGTTACACTCGAACGGCCGACTCGTTATTACTCACCCCCATTGGGGTATCGACCGAAAGCCGACCTGGTCAATGATATCACACTCAATGGACTCCCTAGTGCCTGTTCGATATGTCTCTAATTCCTCCTTCTTCGTGGCTGAACTTTGACTAACTTTCTCTGTAAAACCAATGATTTGCATGAATGTGAAGGATAAGCTACAACTGCTGGTCTCATCAATTCACTGTGCTCATGTGGAGATAAGTATGTCGGCTATGTCCGGTGTTTTTGCTATCCAAACACTTACCCTCGTGGTTTTATAAAGAAGAAAAAGGACCGCCCCTCATCCAGGCATAGCTCTATCCAGGAACACCTCGAATCTGGTGCCCTCCAACAAACCAACTTTGGATTCATTAACACAATACGTGGGAATCTTGATTAAGGATAGGGGAGGACGAATCCAAATTTTTAAAAAGCGCCGAAGTAATGACAATATACACGTTAAATTACGAACTTTGCATATACGGAAGAAGTTTGTTTAATAATCAGATCTACAATGATGAACTTGATCTGTATTAACACCAAATTGTGTAATTTTTTATTAATTTGATAATTCCCATTGTAACGCTTAGAACACAAGATTCAGTGAAGAAACTCTTTTCAACAACGAATTTATTATCAAGCTGTAAAATCGTATATAAATATATATATATATATAGTGTGAAATACAATTAAAATATTTCTAATGATAATCATAGTCATATATCAAAAGTCATTTGGTAAAATGATTGATGTCATATACAGAATAGAGTCTTCAGAGGCTGAGGATATATTGATGTTCACGGATAGTACGAAGTATACTAACGCAAGATCTAATACCACTCACAACTTCTATAGCATTCGTTCCGCATAGACCAAAGGTAAAACAAAACACCAGAATTGACCGTCCAAATTACCAACATATGTTGGGACCAAATCGGATTGCGAGATGATTGCTTAAATAACTAGGGATAGTGCACGAACGAACGAACGTGACACGACGGAGTACCAAATGACGTGGATGCTTGGCCAGACACCTTCAGCTAAACAAGTTGACTTAAACAGTGAGAGTCTGTCTGCTTTCGACATAGAACTTCGCACATATATGCACCAGTTCAAGTCGTCACACTCCCTCCATGTAGCACACAAAGCAACAGAAGAAAGTAGAAGAAATGCATAATAGAGACAGTAAAAAGACGTGTGACATCGCACGTCAAGCCCTCGAGTGGAACAAGAAAGGGAAGCGGCGAGTGGGACGTCATGTGAGGGTGACATGGAGGAGATCGTGTGAAGAGGAGTTGAAAGAGTATGGACTAACATGGACGCAGGTGAAAAGTACAGCAGAAGACAGAAGCGAGTGGAGACGTGCAGTTGAAGCTCTATGTTCCACTAGGAACCCAAAGGAGCAATAATAATAAAAACAGACGTGTCAGACAAAGGAATCGTAATAAGGAAGAACAATGTAGTTTCATTTGAAATCATAAGTCACAGGGAGTGGATGCATCTGGGCTAGCCATTGAGAACGATTTTGAGTCATATCACCAATTGTTTCCCACCATCGGTTTTTACCGTCTCAAGGACCTCAACACTTCAGGAAGACTACACCTTCCTACGTGGTTGGCTTAAACTAACTGTTGTAGATTTCATTGACTGGTGCCATGTTTCGATTTGACCGCCGCTAGCTCTTTTTCAGCCTGACCCAATATCAGCTAACATTGCCTGTCGGTCGAGGAAGGCGATGACTAGGCACATGTCCTAACCATTTCAATCGATGTAGCTTCACAGCCTCGTCGATTGATTTCCCCTCATTACCTAGAACTCGACTAAGGCCTAACCTCAGTATTGCTCAACCTATTATACCACTTCACACGGGAGATAGAACGCAGACACCTATCATCAAAGACAGCTAGCCACGCTTTTCATGTCTTCCACTCTCAATGGCCAGGTCTCACAACTAGCCATAAAGGAGGACGGAGCGGACTGATGAGCAGTACACCCGCCCTTTGGTCGATAGCCAGCCAGATATCACGTCTACTAAGCCAGAGACGGCGTAAACTGGCATATGCGAAACTAGCCCTCTGTATCCGTGTTAAGATTTCGTCAGAGATCAACCCGTGAGGGTCAGTATCCAATGTTCAGTGATGAATGCTGTGGCCAATAATTTTGGGGAATTATTTACTGCTACAAGTCCATAGGATGCAGAATTATTGGAAAGGAGTGTATAGCTGTCGGAGTAGTAGGCTAATATAAAGCGTTACACAACATACTGTGAAATTAGACAAGATACAATTCAACATTGTAAAAAACAAATCTGGATTTGGAGTGACAAGTGAAATAAAACCGGGAATAGAGAATAGTAGCGGTAACAATAATTGTAGTAATAACGGACAGGTATATATAGATAATCTAAATAAACAAAATAATCAATATCAAGTGTTGGTTTGTAGGGATTTGGTTGATTGGTTACAGGATTTCATCATGAGCTGACATTGGTTAGTTTTATTTATTTATTTAAACGCAGAAAAAACTTGGTACAATATGGCACCAAGAAAGATGCGCCACACATTATTCATCTGTTGTGTGAGGGCTGAGATACTGCCCAGCCGCCCAGACCGAAGCAGGTGATTTTATTAAGGGACCACCCCACGAGCCTTTGACTTCGAGTCTAATCTGCAAGGCAGCGGAGCAGCGTCAGGGAGCTGCGTTCCCATGGTTTCCGGTGACTCATATGGGTCCATACCCCATTTGATCCGATTGGATTCTGGAGCCCATGTACCCCATGGTAACTGCTTTTAGTCTAACCGCTATCCAAACATCCTTCCTGACATGGTAAGACCTGCAGGGACATGAGTCCCAGACAGTTTAGCTTGTTGGGTCACTGCGGTATTGAAGCCCGACCACCACGGCAAGGTAGCAGTTATCGGCCATTGGAAGAAAACCATTGGAAAACCTGAGAGTACTGGACAGCTGTTTCGTCCTGGCCTGCGACTCCTCAGCACCGCGCACCCACCACCAGGGTTCGAAACCAGGACCTACTGGTTACAAGGCGAGCTCGTAGACCGTTAAGCCACTGGGAGCCGATCCAATGGCCCATGAATTCTAACTTCTGCCAATTCACGACATAGCGCAACTCCTAGCTAATGTCTTCGGCGAGTATTTGTCCTTACACCAGACCTGCAGCACTCTAATAAATAAATGTTTATCTCTGCACAGCTAAGGAGGAAATAGGGACTGAGCAGACTTCTTTTCTACACAAAGTTGTGAATTAAATTCATGAGTGAATAGCCAAGTGTCTCCGATGTCTTTAGAAGTTTAGAATGAAGGGAAAGAGGTAAGTTAGCATGAACTCGATACATGATCTTAAAATCATGGTCCGGGTTATTTGTGGAGTGATAGAAGTAGATCAGGTCTTCTAGAATAGAGCTTCGCACATCATTTCTTTCCTCTCTACAAAACCATACTGGATAATATGTTCTCGTATCCAAGTGGAAAGCGTTTTCTGACTACGGCCAATACAAATTGCTCCCTAAGAGCAGGTGGACTGATCGACAGATGCACATGGAGGCGGTCAGACAAGGGAGCTTATCTTTTATAGAAACGAATAGCAACTTATGACTGTTGGAGGTTATTTGTAATTGTGTAGCAAAGAATGTCTTACTGAATGATTTAGAGAGACGATTTCTGAGCGTATCTGAAACCTGATCACCTTTGAATTCCCAATTCATGAATATGGTTTTCTTTGCAACTGAATCAGTGACCAGTATGGACTGCTTGTCTGTAGTGTTTTTGTCCATAAGTTGGTTCGGGTAACCCACATTCTGCTAGCAGCCTGGCTTTTACTGAGAAAAGTTCGGAGTCAACACAATCACAACTATAGATCCTTCCTATCGTAAAGCAGGGGAGTGGAGAGAGCGAGTGAATTAGGTTCCTTTTCCTGGAGAGACGCACGCAACTATGAAAAATAGTTAGTTGTCCATTCCATCTACGTTTCTAGTGGATGGATCTATTGAGAAACCTATCACATTATGTCTACTGAGGCACACGTTGAGAAAAGGAATGCTTAATTCAGATTCGTTTCCTATGGTAAATTCCAAATTCTGGCCGACATCCTACAGAAGAGAATACACCTAACGAGCTGAATACAACATTCTCTGCTGCTACATGACGACTCGCATCATCCTCAAGCCGCCCATTGTTCTTCAGCAACTCCAAAGACAAAGCTATCGCACTTCACCGCTTCTATGTGTATCTACCTACCAATTTACTTGCTCATGTAGAATGAGATACACAGGTCATTTGATGCCCTCTTCATCTTAAAAGAGTCAAAGAACATTATCCTGATCGGCTATGAAAGGGTTACACAGTGGATCAATAAGGAACGGTATAATTGAACATGTATTGAATATTGATCACACAAATAGGTAAGGAGAATTCTATTCTATCTTCCGTGCGAAGTTGTATAATAGGGTAAGCAATATTGAGGTTAGGCATCGGTC